CGGACCCCTCCCCGGCGGGGCGCCCCCTCAGGTAACCCGGCGCAGCCCCTTCCCCTCCGAGCCCGCCTCCCTGCAGCCTGTCCGTAGGCGGGCACGGCCGGCCCCGCGTGCCCACTTCCCAGACGGGAAGACCGAGGCTCGCTTGCTGAGCCTGGCATCCAGCCCGATCTCCCGGCTCCTGGCCCGCAGGCCTCGCAGCATCTGCTCGGGGCAGGTCCCTAGCTCCGCGGCGGGCGAGGGACTGGGGAAGGCAGTTCCGAGGGGGAGAGGGCACTGGCCCAGACAGCCTGCTCCTACTGCTAATTCTTCTTGATCCTACTAGCGTTTATGGCGTGCTTACCCCTCACTAGGCACTGTGTTCAACTCTTTACCTGAATTATCTCAACTTTATACTGTGACCATTGGACAGATGAGAACCGAGGCGCTTGACAGGCTAAGTAACTTGAAGAAGGTCACACAGCTTATTCTGGCGGACACGGGTTTCCTACAAGTCGGTGTTCGTGCTTTTTTAAATTGCAAACTTATTGGCTGCTTTTTGTATTTCAATGATTCTATTAGAAGGTGCCGGTCTAGGCTTGTTTGGTTGGTTTTCCCATCCATGAGCGGCTGTGCTGAACCCTAACCTGTGCCCTTAACTCAGGCAGAGCTCCCACCCTGTTCCCTTTGGGAGGTGTGCGCCCAGAAAGAGGACTGGCCTGTGGGCCTGGGTGTCTGGACTCACCCACACTGTGATCAGCGCTTCACTTGTCTACTGCTACAGAGCTAAGAGCAGGGTGGAAAGAAGTACCTTATAGATTATTTATAGATGTTACCACTGCCAATGGGAGTGGCTTTTTTTCCTTTCCTAAAAAAAATAACCTTTGCATCCAGTCAACTTGCTGGATTCTCTTGTTAATCCTAGCAGTCTTTTAGTTGCTTAATTGAAATTTTTAACTAGGCTATTACATTGTCCACAAATAATGACTTTTGAATCTTTCTCACTTGTATGCATTTTCTTTCTTATTGTATTGTGTTAGTGAGGCCCTGAGACTAGTATTGAAATAAGGGCAGTGTTTTGGCCATCTTTGTCTCACTCGTGATTTTCACGGGAACATTTGTTAAGTGTTGCTTTCCTACGTAGAAGCATCGCTCTACTGCTGGTTAAATTAAATGTTTTATCACAAATGGACACCCAGCGTTTCCTGGCAGTCTAACTGCACTGGTCTGGCAGTCTTGCTTTTCCTTTGCCCAAGGATGACTCCGTACCTTTTCCTTCCCCTGAATTCCTACAACTCCAGATCCCCACCTCACTCTCAGCTGATGATGGCCCTGCTTCAGGCTTCACTGAGGAAATAGAAGCCTCCAGACTGGATTCCCCTCATCTTCTCACAACAGAGAACCTAGGTGTCCCCTTTCCTGTCAAAAGCTCCTCCTCCTCCTACCGGGTCTTGGCCACATTCTCCTATCTTCCCAGGAGCTGTTACCTTCTCCACCTGCACTTGGCATTAAATTTGAACTCCTTACATTGGCATTCTGCAAGTGTGCTCCGCTGTTTCGACCTAAAAATGAAGGGCGGGGGTGGTTCCTTGTGCCCACAGCCCCGTCTCCCCCATACTCCCCATTTCTCTACTGTCCTTCATAGCTACTCTTTTTAAACTAGCAGGACTTAAGTCTACACACGTGTCTGTTGCCTGTCTTCCCGGTCATCCTTCAGCTCATTTCAGCCCGACTCTCCACACCACTACCGCTCCCTCTAGTGCACTTGAACCACTCTTGTCAAGGTCACCGGCTACTTTCGTGTTACCAAACCCAATAGACATGCCTGTGCTTTTTTCTTACTCTGCCTCAGAAGCATTGGACACAGTGGACCACTTTCTCTTTGAAATACTCTGTCCCCTTGGCTTCCCCAATACCACACACTGCAGTTCCTGCTTAGTGTTTCTTACTCCCTGGGCCACCTCTCTTCAGTATCTTGATGTTGGACTTCCTTAGTGTCTCTTTCCCTTCCCCAGGTGGTCTCATCCCTTCCCGTGACTCTTAATACCACTCATATATCGACAGCTCTCACACTTTTGTTTCGGTCAGCTATCTTTTAATGTTCTTGGTTTCTAATAGATAGATCTTGAGGCTGTACATTTTCCTCTAGTACTATTGGCTCTATCTCATAAGTTTTCAGATGTAAATTTTATTTTTACTCATTTCTAAGTAGTCTCATTTCAATTAAATTTCCTCTTCAATACAAGAGTTAGGAAAATTTTTTAGTTTTTGTATTCCTGCGTTTTTAATTTCTGATCAGAGAGTTTGACTTTTTTAATTTCTACTTTGGGGAATGTTTTTAAGATTTCTTTCTTTTTATTGCTGTTGGAATTAGGATTTGAGCCACACACTTTGACTCCATAGCCCAACAGCCTAACATTGGTACTGAGTTATGGTACTTCTGAGGCCCCACCTTGGCCACTGGTGAGCTCTGGCGAAATGTCTTCACCTCTCTGGGCCTAAGGATAACCAAGGCAAGGGAACTGTACTGGATACTCTCTCAGATTCCTTCCAGCTGACCTCCCACCCCGCACACACACACACCAAGAAAAAAGACGTAAAAACAAAATAACTGGGTTCCCAATCTAGGTGGGAAAAATAGAAGAGATGTACAAAGTACCGTGGGGCCCAGACAAGGGAGGTGACCCACCAGTTTAGAAAGGATTGAGAGTCAGGAAACGCTGCATGCGAGAGTTGACATTTAAGATTATACCATCAAAGGGTCATTCATTCATTTAACAAATATTTATTCAGCACCTCTCTGCTGTTTTCTAGTTGCTGAAGATAGCTGCAGTGAATAAAATAGACAAAAGTATCTGCTTTTGTGGATATTACGGTCTAGCAATTTGACGGGTTGACAGCCAAGACTGGAGGCGCCACCTGTTTCCTACTGCACCTCACCCGTGTGACTCCGCTCTTTTGCTTAGGGCCCCCCTCCCGTCCATCCGCTCGCCGGAGACATCTCGTTCTGAGGGAGATCCGAAACCTTCAGAAGAGCACACACCTACTGCTAAGGAAGATGCCCTTCTGCCGCCTGGTGAGCTCCAGGGGGCTTCCAGCCAACCCCACGCTGCCTCCTTTCTTTCAATTTACCCAGTATTGGGGCCCCTATCATCTCTTGCCCAAGTGGCCAAGAGACCTCTTCTCTAACTAGTAGAGGACTCTTCATCTTCTGGAAACATGAGCCTGCCAAGAGTACCTTCCAATTCTTTATGGAATTAATTTCCAACCCCCACCACCTTTGAAACTGTGTTGTTTGATTATGTAAATGGAAACCCTCCCATCCATCCATCCTTTCATCCCTGCCCTCCCCTGGGAGATTGCCTCCTCTCTCCGCCACCAGTAAGAGACATGCCAATTCCTAAGCTCCCAGGAGTTGGTACCTGCTACTACTAGTTAGGTCCTAAAGTTAAGGACCAGGAAGGAGTAATGGAAATGAAGATTGACAGAGACTCACAAAGAGAGTCTTATCTTCTCTCGAGTCTCTCTTTTACTCTCTGCTCCTCCCCACTTCCCTTCTCCTTTGCCTCCCATCTCCACTCCTTCACAGGTAAGAGAAATATGTGTTAAATTCACTCGTGGTGTGGACTTCAATTGGCAAGCCCAGGCCCTGTTGGCCATACAAGAGGTAAGGAGGGGGCCGTGGTACAGTTGGGCGAGGGCTGAGTATGGGAGAAAGGTGTTGTGGAGCTCCACGGGGCTGGCTGTGGAGTGTCACGCTCACTCGTGCCTCCTTGCAAAGAGCCACAAGGACACCCAGGGTTTGGAGGCTGGACCTGGTCTGGCAGTAGCAGAATTCCCAGGCAGTTCAGTCTCATTCTGTGAACAGTCTTTCCTATAGTCCTTTGAGCCCTACTAAGTGTAGCAGGTCCCCAAGGAAAAAGCAGCCTGTGCCCCCTTGCCTAGGTCAGTCTACTGTTTCTGTCCCCAGGCGGCAGAAGCATTTCTAGTACATCTCTTTGAGGACGCCTATCTCCTCTCCCTCCATGCCGGCCGTGTTACTCTCTTCCCGAAGGATGTGCAGCTGGCCAGGAGGATCCGAGGCATCGAGGAAGGGCTGGGCTGAGCTGCCGCCTGCCCCTGTAAGCCTTTCCTGCTCCCAGAGAGGGGGGCTGGGGCAGGGAGGAGCACCCCACTTCCCATCAGTGGGGAGGTGGGAGTTTCTCTGAAGGAACTTCTCTTCTCCATCCTTAGTCCCTGGCTGTCTTGCCTTCCCTTTGTTCTTGAGAAAAAGTTTGACCTGGTTTTACCTTTAATATTTGGGACTCTATGGCTCATGCCCTTTTGTACAATGTTAAATAAAGACATTTTTCTATTAAGTGATGACCAGACCACCCGGATTTCTGACAGAGTTAAGCCTCTTCGTCTTATAAGGACCAGATGACCTCATTTTGATTAAGAGAAGGTTTTCTTACTTTTGAAAATGCCTTGTTAGTAAATGTGATTCCTTAATTTCAGGGATGATACCAGGGACTCTTTCTGGAGCTGGGACCAGATCCATGGAGTCTGAGGTGCTGCCTGGACTTGGCTGTCTCTGAGTAGAGTGTGTATGTTGCTCTTGTAATTGTTTTTTTTAATGAAGGAGCAGACTGCATGGCTCTCCTCCGCGACAGAGGTAACATACAGGAAAATCAACATAGTTCCAGAGGCCTGAGAATTATTTTCAGATAAAGAGTCTCAATGGTTGACTTCAGTTTGTAAATTATTCATATGACTGCTTAGTGATTTTGAAGACATCAGATTTGCTGATATTTGCTTATAATTTTGGATCTTACTGAACCATTTAAATTCCTCCCCTTGCCCCTCCATTTAAATTTTTTACCATATGTATATTTACTTCTATTTAACACATAAGGGGAAAAATAAGAGAAGAACACTTCAGTCAGTTGTATGGGAGAGCCCGGCACTTCTAGCATACAAATCTCTGTCCTTCAGATTAACTTCATTGGTGATGGCAGCAAGTGCTGATTTGGACGGTGCCTGTCAACAAATGTAGCTTCTCAAAGACTCAGTTGGGGTGGGGATTGAAAACCTTTTAAGGTTTAATGTTCTGGTTCTTCTTAGTAAATTTCTGTCAAAATCATTCAGAAATGCTAACTTAATAGAACTTTATTATTTGTAAATCACAGAAGATGTAACATAGTTTATATTTTAGAATTTTTCATTCCAGGATTTTAAAGGTCTTTTCAATGTATTGACAGGTATTTTTATAACTGCTTTGTGGAGAGATAATAAAAATAATAATTCTTGAATGAGAAAAGTTTAAACCAAAGTTACTGTTACAGCATACATATATATTTGGTGTGTTAACATTAAGTTCTTCATTTATACACTTTTGCAAACAGCTAAAATTTAAACAAGAGAATTGAGGGATGTGTTTTTGCCTCCAGTGGAGTAGTGTACAAGCAGATAAAAACCTTGCCCTTCTCTCGTAGCTGAAAGCATTTTAAGAGATTTCCAGACAATGGGAAATGCCACCAGAAGAGTTTAGATTTTGTGTCTGGTAAAAATGATTAGTGAGGGCAGACTCGTCAGCGGAATTCAGAGACAAACTAAAGAGAAGGACCAAGTTCTATTGTTTAATACATTTTAACCCTTTGGAAAATCTTGTTTGACCTCAACTCATATTTATGCTGGCATTCAAATAAAGCTTACCTACCTATGAATATATTTAAAGTTCTTGTCAGAGCAATATTAGTTAGAAGATTATTGTCTTCCTCTAGTTTTCTTTAAATTGTACCAACCGAGACACCACTACAACCAACACGTCCACATGTCACATGCCCTTTATAGGCATTTCCTCATGTAATTATCACAGCGAGGGTAAAAGAACGTATTATGATCCCCACATTCTGTGGGGGAGCTAAAGCTCAGATGGATTAACTCTCCAAGGTCAAGTATCTAGAAAGTGGCACAAGTGCTCCAACCTAGGGATGTATGACACCAAGCCCTGTGTTCTTCCGATTTTCCAGGAGCAAGAGCCTAGATTATAAATAAATATAAATAAATAAAGCTAAAATCAACTACTGAAGACATTTACAACCTCAAGTTTGGGTGCGAGTTTCATCAATGTCCCAGGTCGACAGATGATTTCTGAGCAGCTCTTTTCTGACCAGAGGAGGTGGGCCCAAGAAAGCAGAGTCCAAGTGAGGGCCACTAAATGGTGCAGGGGACCCTTCCTGCCACTAGAGGGCTCCCTCCCCTTAGGCAAAAAGTGTAGCACGGAAAATATACTGCTGCTGCCGTGAGGCGGAGCTGGGCTCCGCGGCGCCTCCCTCCTGGAGCTTTAATCCAGCTTTCCTAAATCCCGGGATCAGCGCAGAGCTTGGCCAGCGCCTGGAGGAATCCACAGGGCAGTGCCCCAACCTGAGGCAGTGGGGAAAGGAAGAGCTACTTCTAAATTTTCACAGCCACATCCCAGTCTCCCTTGAGTTGGGGCTGCTGTGGGGTGGGCCCTAGGCTCGTTTCGGGGCTCCCAACATAAACTCGTGATTGGGGGTGGGGGGAGCAGAAAAGTAAACCTCCCAAGAGATGTGGAACCTCAATGGAGGTAATCCAGACGTGCATCCCCCAAATGCCAGCCTGGCCTGGTCCAGGTCCTGGGCCCACCGCAAAGGACCACAAGGAAAGTGGTCCACGGCCACCTCACTTCGACGGGCTCTGCGGCCAGCGCCCCATGTAGATTTTGCTGAGGGGAGGGGGCACCCTCCAGAGTTGTGAAACACCGTTTTGTTTGAAAATATCCCGCAGAGGGATCACCTCTCAGGGCTGCGCAGCTGCAGCCCGGGAACTCCCTCACCTTCACCCCTTCCCGGGCCCGGCAGGGGAGGGGCTTCAGCAGCACACTGGGTTCCCCTGGGAACCCCGGGATGGAATTGGAAGTAAGGATTCAACGCTGTATTTTTAACACCATATCAATAGCTTTGCCTTCGGAGTGACATTAAGTCAAAAGAGGCAAATGACTAAACAGTATCTAAGCTATTACTGCAACTACATAAAACTACACGGTAAAGGCTTGAGAGGGGATCGGGGAAGTGGTACGAGGGCGTGATGACCCTCCCTCTCTTTTTTTTAGATTTGTTTTTGCTAAATTATGTGCGCATTTAAAACGTGAAGAAAAAAGGTGAAGCAAACGTAAATTGAATTATATAGGACCGGCAGCTGGGCCGGAGAGCTCCGGATGGAGAAGCCCTATTCAGCGCCACCGAGAGTGAACTCGGCTGGAGCCACAACAGAGGGGAGAAGCGAGCGCAGGTGACCCAGAGTGGCTGTCCACCTGGTACGTGAGAACAGCTGACCTCCCCGCCCTCTCCATCCTGGAATCCCGCCCAGCGCCCACTTCGGAGGCGTCGGTCGGGGTCTTGGCAGGAACCAGGAGGCTCTAGCCCGGCCTGCAGGGAAGGGCAGGCCCCGCAGCCGCCGGGGAGAGGCCGCCGGGCATTGTTTCAGCCCCTCGGGTGGGGTCCTGCAGGGGGAGGGGAGGCGGTCTGCCCTCGGGACCCGCCGCGTAGCCCTCCGGGGGGACAGGTGCATCTGCAAGTCTGAGCGCCCGTGCTTTATGAACGGTCGGGAGTCACCACGCAAACCCCACGGAACGCGGAGCAGGTCTCCACGGGAGTCGGCGGGTTCCCCGGCCGCGCCCTCGGTCCCCTCCGGGACCCCGACCCCGCAGTAGGGCCTGTCGGGAGTTGTAGTCCCAAGGCGGCTGCCGAGA